TTTCACAAAACAAATGTCAAAGAATTTCATGAATTAAATGAATGAATGAATTAAAAAGAGTTGAAGCGCTGCACACAGTTTTTTTCAAATGTCACAATTGCTAGCAGCATAGAGTCTGACTCGAGTCCAAGTCACGTGGCTCGAGTCCACACCTCTAGTAAGAAGTGATGGACAGAGCTCTTGGGCACAGCCTCGCTTTGTGATTTTGCTTAAAGTTTTTCACAGAAACTTTGCTGCTAGAGTTAAATGCCAATGTCAGTATGCTTACAATGACAATGCTGACATGCTGGTGTTTAGTTTACCAAGTTTAACATCTTAGTCTATCATGTAAGCATACTAGCATTTGCTAATTGGCATTATATGGCGCTAGGGGGAAAAAAAAGTTAAAGGATCACTGAAGTTGTTACAATTCTAAAACTCATCAGAAGAATCGGAATTTTGAAATCTGCATTTCTATCACAACTGAACAAACTTCATTTGCTGACGAAGAAAATGTCATATGGTCAAAAGCTCCAGAATAAGACAATAAGGACACTTTTCATCAAAAGAGAATAGGATTTGATTATCGATAATATTGCAAGATGTACCTTTAGAAATGTAATCATGGAGTTTTAAATTTAAAAAAAAGGGATGAAACAGCAGCAACAGCCCAGGGCCTCTGGTTTGTAGACTAGAACAATTGGAGGAGCTTAGTCTGCAGACTTTGTCAGCTATAGGGTGAAGGTCCAAATGAAAAAAGAGAGTGAGGGAGAGAGACGGTAAGAGTAAGAGAAAAAAGAAAGGAAAAAGTTTTTTCAAAGAGAAATAGAAGCCACAACTCCCAACCACAGACATTGGCCTGGCGTCACTGACTACAAAGTGTCATTAACCAATCACAGAGCTGCCACTGACCTCGCCACTTTTCTGGGCCGGAGCCCTACATGTAACCTCCTATTTATACTTTCTTATTTCTTTACTTTCTGTCCCCCCCTCTTTACTGTTATGTTCATGACAGTTTACTGGGTTCACCAAGTAAGGAGGTGACATGCTGCACATCAGTAAATCTTAATTCTGTCAGTGACAGTGTTTGAACCCAATAACTGGCTGTGAACTATTTGGGTAGCAATGATGAGAAAGGTAGTGATGCAGAAGCATAAACATCTACAAATATCTACATGCATAAAGCTCCAAAAGTAGATTTAGGCATGTATGTCGATAATCTCCATGACTCTACAGCCGCAGGCTTTATAAATTCCATATGTCTTTGAGATCAATTCCCATAAGAATCATACAGGGTATTCATCTCAACCCTCCTTAAATGAAATAATAGCATTGGACAGATATCTTTTCTGTAAACACATGTCCAGTTCTACTCTAAAAACTTCAGTCTAACTCAGTGGCATACATGTTTGGTTTGAGTGACTTTGCCATGTTAGTTTCACTATAAACAAATCGAAATGACCTCCAAACCTGAATGACTTCGCATAAAAACTTTGCCTTAAATCCGCTTCTTTTATCTGATGTGGAGGAACAAAGGAAGCAGTCCGGGTGGATTTTGTGTTAAGGTGGTTGAAAGCTGTGAAGTGTGGGCTGTGGAGTTCACTTACCGAAGGAGTACCTAGAAAGAGAGAAAAAAGAAAACAAAAAAGGGATACAGCAGTATAAAAAATTTGATGCATTCTTAAACATTGATGAAAATGATATAAAAAAATAAATAGCTAGAATTTGAAGATTTTTTTTTTAAAGCGGTAATATTTGTGTATATGTATTTTTAGGCCAATTGGGGGCCACAGAACTAGCTAAAGACACTTAGATTTTATAAACTCAGAGATGTTAAATTGTTGTTAGGGTAAACCAGTCCACACAATAACAATCTCATTTATTTATGCCAATTAAGGCAACTTGTTACTATTTTCAATATGTATGTTCACATTTTCTAGCAAATTTAATGTTGGCAGAAGACTGCGACAAGGGTACGCGTGGTCACTTTTGGCTATTTACAGTCAGGATGCCTATTTACACATCCAGCAGACATCACTCATTTGGAGTCATGTCTCTGGCCACCTGATGAATCTAAGTCCAACATTCACTCTCTTTTTAGCTCTGTTTGGTCTCCACCAACTCCTGAGAAAAATATAGCAGCTACGTTTGCGTGCTGTTTGGTTCTGGGCGGTTAGTGGATAGTTGGCCAGGAAACCAAAACAATGATCCAAAAAGGACTAAAATCTTCCTTAATAACGCTCTGTGGGTTCGTACATTCGAGCTATTCCTTTTGCTTTTCTTAATGTATAAAATATTGATTTGCACAGCTTTAAAACACACAACATAAAGGAACAAAGGCAACAAATGTAAAGTATAGAGAACATTTAAAAAACTGAATCATTTGATTTTGCTAAACTGTATATACTGCGTTCTATATATGACCCCACAGTTCTCCATTTACATATTATGCCAGATGTAAGTATTTATGTATGTGTATATCCCAGACTTACCACAGCTGTCCCACGTTGACCAAGGAGTGGTAAAGCACCCACAGTGTAACCATGATCACCATATTGGCCATTCCCGTCACCAGGACAAATGCAGACAGTGCCATCCCCACCAAGGCAACGCCGTCCAGGTTAGCATCCATGTCGCTCCAGTCTAACAGCCAGAGGATGGAGGGTGTGTAAGCGAAGGCGGCCATGCCTATCTTTCCCCCCACATAGCGCTTAACGCTATTGAGGTAGCTCTTGCAGGGCATTAGTCCGTGTTCGCCTATCAGCTGCTTGTTCTGGTTGTAGGCAACGCTGAACGCCACAACTAGAAGAGAGAGAGAGAGAGGAGACAAAACAGGATACAGGCAGAAACACAAATATGAGTCAGTGCACATTTTATTTTTTATTAAATATGCCTTAAAGGTGGATATTGTATCTTTCCCCCTTATTTTGTAAGGTATTTTTACATCAGCAATAAGGGGGCTAACTGACATAAGTCTTCTCAAGAATATCTTCACTTCTAAATTCAAACAAAGTAAAAGGGTGTTCATCACAATTCAGTGCAGGCAGAGAATTGAGAGAGAGAGGACTGTTTGGAATATTTATAGACATGATATCAAGGCAAAGCTGAGGTCTGAAGAGTGTCCAATTAGGAGAAATTCAACTGCTTTTTGCAGATGACGCTGTTCTTCTGGTTTCACTGGAGTCTGACTCCTGATAGTACATTTTAACAATTTGCTGCTGAGTGAGTGAGTCAGACGTGGTCGGGTGGTAGATCAGCTACAGCAAGTCTGAGATCATGCAAAAAAGGACGCTGTTCCTTCTAGGTCATGGAAACAGGAAGCTGTTAGGTTCCTGAACAGGTAAGATAGAGTCATCGTAAGTGAAGTTCATTTTCATTGAGAGTTGTGTACCCAAAAAGGTAAGACACCTCCAGGCAGCATATTGTTAACGTCCCTCTGGGCATTACTGCCCGGGAGCAGAAAATTCTGCTTCCTAATTAGTACTTTTTCCTTTGAAACTCTTATATAGTATATTTAGTTGCCACAAGTTCTGTACATCTAAAAAAATAAATACGACACATGATATAGCCTAATTGCTAAAGCTAATCAAAATAAACACTTGAAGGTGGATCCTTCAATAACCACTCCTATTAGTCAGTAAATTACACTTTAAAATCAAAATCACAGATGTTATTAAATGGCGCATTGTTACCTCGCACACGGGTAAAGGCATAAATCTTCTACAAGTGAATTTGACTTTAACAACGTATACATTAATTCACTTAAAATGTTTTATTCTGTTATGTTGTTTTTATTAACAAAAAGTAAACGTTCAAGGCTAAAGACAATGAGCCACATTCTGAACACAAGGACACTAAACAGAGAACACGAACAAAAAGCTGCCCTTTCAAACGTCGCCGCAGCTGACAATGACTCCACGTGAGAGGGAAGGACTCGTTCAGAGTGAACGTCAAGTGTCAACTCGCTTCACTTACAGTAAATAAAGGCGACCGAGCGCAGCAGCACGATACGAGTGAGCCAGTAAGTCCCAGTCCGTAACGACTGAAGGCTCTTTTCTTTCTCGGTGTCTTTGCTGGAGTCTGCTCCATCTCCTGCACTGCTGTCAGCAGACTTTGTCTCTGTCTTACTGCTGTGGACACGTCTTTTCCTCACAGAGCTTTCAGAACTGTCAACGGTGGCCGCCATGTTGACGGACTTCAAAGTCACGTGACTAAACAGACGCGGAAGTGCATTAAAAATGTTTTTATTAAAATGATCATTCATTCATTAATAATGTTATTGATATTATTATTATTATTATTATTATTATATTGTTTAGAATGAAGATAATTACTGAATAAATAAAATACAGAATAAAGGATCAAATATATTTAATTATAACAAGGAAAAACGTAGACAATGGTGGAACAGCTATTTGATTACGTAGCCTATCATAACTAAAAAATACTCAGAATGGCCCTTGTGCCAGGTAGTATTAGTTATATCATGCTATTGGATTATTATTGTGCACTCATTCAGCAAACAGTATTTTCATGTATAACTTGCCCAAGGTGCTGTTAATTTTAAGTGAATTTCGGCAGTTTAGTGTATAACAATGTCTAATAAATTTTGAGCGCATCTTTTGTAGCCTATAGGCTAATTTGAACTGAAATGTAGCCTATTGAAGTCGACATAGCCCATATCTCCTAAAATAGCATAATATTGCCATACTCAAGGAAAATATAGGCCTATGCCTACTTCATTTCTGTCACTGAGTACAAATGAAATTCAGCAGATCTCACTTTTATTGCGTAGAATAGGCCTACTACACAAACACCATCAAATTTGGTTTTCAATAGCCTACTAAAGGTAATATTGTCTGATTAACAATTCTTTGCCTCATCCTTCTTATTTTTTTGCCAAAGAAGGAGGAACTCTGCTGGTGCAATTTTGCAGTTTAAGCCAATGGGACAAGAGGGGTGGAGAACGGAGAGATGCAAATAGTTAAAAGTTAAAAGTGCTAAAAACAAAATAGAGGCTTGTCACACTTTGACTGGCTGTGGAAGGGGTGTGGGAAGAAATGTAATGCAAGAAATTTGGGGATTTTACTTAATTTCGAGGGGAAACATATTATATATATCCCACACAGTCGTGCACTTTTACGCACTTGGAGAGTTCCTCGGGAATCCGGCCGATATAAAAACTTTTTATCCGCCAACAATGACAGAAGAGAACATGTCCTTGACGGACCATCCACGCAGTCCAGTGGGCAGCGACAGCTCGATGTCCCAGCATCGTTCGGATTCAGAGTCCCCGACCTCTCCAGCAGTGTCCGACGCACAGGACGCAGCTCGCCCGCCCGGGATTACGCACAAACCGGAGAGCAGCGTGGAGAATGATCGCTTCCCCGCCTGCATCCGAGACGCGGTGTCTCACGTGCTGAAAGGTTACGACTGGTCGCTGGTACCGATGCCCTCTCAAGGGGAGAGAGGGCTGAAGAGCAAACCTCATGTGAAACGGCCGATGAACGCGTTCATGGTTTGGGCGCAGGCAGCGCGGAAGAAGCTGGCTGACCAGTATCCTCATCTACACAACGCTGAGCTCAGCAAGACTCTGGGCAAACTGTGGCGGTGGGTATTGGAGAGAGTCTCAACTTTTAAAAATGATGAGCTATTATTGCATGCAACTAAATTGGAAGAAAACCACAGTTTGTTTCCCAGCCAAAGTCCTGCTTCTCCGCACTGAATTTCATTCCAAAATGAGAATTTTATCTTTATAGAAAATGTGACAACTCTTCTACTAAAATGACAGCTGACCAGCAATTAAACAGTACTGCTTAAGTTATTAAGCTTAAATCCAAGTAAATATGTATGCTTATATTTATATTTATATTTATAATAGTAAAAATGTATGCAGTTAGTATGTTAGCAAGTTAAAGAAATATCCTCTTATATAACTTATGTACTCTATTTTGTTTTGTTTTTTAAACCTGTCCTTCCCAGCAGCCTGGTATAGAGTATGGGGAGCAGGATACCATGTTGTGCCAGACAGATTTTATTAAGACAGTATTAATATGCTCTTTTGTCTGTTTTATTATTTATTTAAATATGTATTGGTTGTCACCAGATGGACAGGGGGGCAGAAATTGGGATGGGGGCCACAAACGCTGCACAAACAGACACCACAGAGAGAGGACAACACCTGCAAGAGAACGGGGATGGGGGGGTGGGGACAACAGGAAATAGCATAGGAAAACACCAATTGCAAAAAGCAACAAAACCTGCAAAAGAACGGGGAGGGGGGCTTGGGGCAGAGTAAAAACAAACAAACAAACAAAGAGACAACCAGCCGAACAGCAGCAATAAACAGCTGACATAAGAAAACAACTGAGGGAGAAATGAAAAGGAGAAACAGTCAAGCAAAAATAAATAAACAAGCCATGAGAGCTGGAATAATAACAATTAATTAAGTAACTTAATGAAAAGCATAAAGAATAATTCTACCTGTGACAGCCAGGGCCAACCTAAGTTTATTTGTGTGTGTGTCTATGTGTCTGTATGTGTATGTGCGTGTGGATGAATGTGTCTAAGTGTGTGTGCATAAGCCTATTACAGAATGTAGTTGTTAGTGAGACTGGGACGCCACCCCCGCACCACACTGACCCCAGCAACAGGCAGGCAAGAACCCCAGTAGCTAGTAGAGGTGGGAGAAAAAATCGACTCCCAACGTGGAAGACCCCGACCTGACCTACAAACGCCAAAAAATTGACCATCCAAATACCAATCGACAGCGCAATGCCGAAGCAAAATCAACTAGCTCAGCTGCATGCCACCACCAACCTACCCACCCGGCAAGGGCTGAGAACACCAGGCACAAGCCCAGAACAAACCGGTGCACAGCTCCGCCCTGAACACACACTGCACATCCCCGACTACTAACATTATACTTCAGTCTCCAGAGGGGTCAGACAATTGGACGACAGACAAATGAGGGACCACGGATCTGAGGCCAATGAAGCAAACCAGGGACGCAAACTAGTCCCTCCAAGCCAGAGAGCCGTGCCGTACTGCCAGGGAGCGAGAACGCGGGAGAACCAGGGCCGTCAGTCGCCTACCCAGCTGGAGGCCACCCCCCCCGAGTGCAGGCAGAGCCAGTGGCCCTAGTGTGTTCTATGGAGAGTTTTAAACTGTATGAGTTGTAGATTGGGATTTTTAGTCATTCTAAAAGTATTTAAACATATCTGCGTCCAGAAGTTTTGGTCTGGACTAATGTATAGATCTGTCTCCCACTTTAAGAATGGGAGAGAGCTTGAACCATCGGTTGTCAACAGTAACATGTTTATCTTTGATAATAGTTTTGAGGGCGAGAGTTTAAGAAAGTCTGTTATCATTGGCGGTAGATCTAAGTCCATTATGTTATCCTTAAATCGTGCCTGAATTATGGATTTAAACTGTTGATTTTCAAGAAATCTATTATTGCTAATTCCATTTTGTGACACTAGATCCTGGAATGGAATAAAGTTACTGCCCTGCATTGCTCTAGATGTCTTATCACTTTGTCATACCACAGTGGGGAATTTAGCGTTTTCTTACTTTGCAGGATGTCAGGAATGTTCCAGATTGGAGTAAGTCTGCATGGGATAGGTGAAGACCCAGATATTTTGAGAAATTCCCACCAAGCTGCCAGGGAAGTGCTTATGTTAATACTTTTAAAGCAGGTATGATGTTTGATGCTGGAACTCATGAATGGCATATTGGAAATTTTAATTTCCTTACAGAATGTTTCTTATATGTCCATCCATGAGTGGTCCAGGTGGCTTTGATCCATTTTGAGATATATTGTAGTCTTTTGGACAGGAAGTAATGAGAAAAATTTGGCAGACTCGACTTGAGAATCTTTTGCTTTTTAAATTGATTTGTGGGGGGTTATTTTTCCATAAAAATTTTGAGATGTTTGAGTCCAGTGACTTAACCCAGACAGCAGAGGGTTGGGTGGGTAACAGGTAATTGATTTTAGGTAGGACCATCATTTTTATGGTGGAGACTCTTTCTGTGAGTGATATGGGCAATGATGTCCATCGCACAAGGTCATCCTCTATTGATTTAAGTAGAGATGTGTTGTTTAGTCATGTCACTTCTGACATCCTGGAGGAAATACTGACACCCCCATATTTAATATTCCCTGACTTTAGCGGTGTGGTAGATATACACTGGAAATCACACATTACAGGTAAAACTATGAATTTACTCCAGTTAGGAGTAGTGTGAGATGGATGAGAATTTATCTACTGTATAAATGTGATTGTCTCAGAAAGAGAAGTTGTAAGTCTAGGAGGAAAAGTAACACATCATCTGCATAAAGGCTTATCATGTGGTGTACATTTTCTGTTTGAATTCCTTTAATATTTTTATTTTGTCTGTTAGCAGCTGCTAGTGGTTCTATAAAAATAGTGAGTAGTGAGCAACGCTGCCTGGTACCCCTCTGAAGACTAAAGTTTCAAGAAGTATGATCATCTGTCCTGACAGAAGCTGGTCAATTTCTAATGCAGTTTAATTTAATTTAAAATGCAGCAAGTGATGGAGGAAGTATTCAGAACCATTACAAAGTAAAAGTAGCAGTACTGCAATATAGAAATACTCCAAGATAAAATCTTAAACCGAAAATATTGCATATGAGTATTATTTGCAACATGTAGGCCTTCTTATACTCACAATACAGAAAATAGCCCTGGTGTGCTGTACTGTATTATATTGGATTGTTATTACTGTGTAAGTAGCACTTTAATGTTGTGAACTGAGACTAATTCTAACCATCTTTACACTATTGGCTTGTTGGGTGGTTCTATAACCAGTTTATCATATTTTATTAGCTTATATATTTTGTGTGTAGTCCAAGTCTTAATCTGTAAATTATCAGATAGTGAAGTAAAAAGTACAATATCCTTCTGAATTCTAGTGGAGCAGACGTAAAAAGACGCATTACATCTATCTAGTATCTCAAATGTGTACTTAAGTACAGGAGTAAATGTTGGTTACCTTCCACCACAGCGTAATCCAAAACATTATTTTTACAGTGAAAATATGAAATGCATACCTCATGTCATTAGCAACCCAGGACTATATTAACACCCTGTCTAATTTATTCATTTCATTAAATTAAGAACTTAACTCCCTCCACTGGTATTCCTCAAACTATTTGTTTTAACAATATTCTGGTGTTAACATGTCTGTTGTCAAAAATGGTTAAAAGTATGCTTTCTAATGTTTCTAAAAAGTTATATTATACATATAGTATTCAAGGTATGCTGGATGCAAGTGATAGCAGTTAATGTTGTGTTTTCCTGTTTGGCTTTATGGATGTACCACTGGCTCTGAATCGGATAACGGTCAAGAGACTGTCCCAGTAGTGTTCCAAAGACAAGTTACTGATGAGGGAACCTCAACTGCTTTGACCTTGCTGCTATAAGCGTGCAAGTAGTTTCCCTGGCCCAAATTTCCATTTAATTCAGAATATCTCACTAGTGACGCACTTTTGTGGAAAACCAATGCCTTCAGCTGGTGTGGCCATGGCTGGAGAAAAGGAAAGAGATGCCACGCCTTGCAAAAGCTGATGGAGGGAGATGCCGCATCCGTTCATCCTTGCAGGATCAACAGCAAAACATGTTGCAATGACTACAAGCAAGTGACTGTGATTACTGTGCTGACTAATTTGGGTTTGGTGGGTGCCAGGCTATGAAAGGTTACAGTAGTCTATTTGTAAGATCTATTTATATATCATTAAATGGGATTATGACATCAAAAATGTGACAGTTGCAAACAGTACAAGTGCACAAAATGTCAGTCAATGAAGTAATAAAAATGGTTGTAATTTGTCACCTCCTGTCTGGTATTTTTAAAGAAGACTAACATTTTTTCCCCAATTCTGAACATATAACAGATGGCAAAATGTGTATCAATATATTGTATATCCAGTGCACCTGCTAGTTTTTAAAAATACATTCACTAATCTAATAACTCATTCCTCTCTTCCTCAGACTTCTCTCTGAAACAGAGAAACGTCCCTTCATTGAGGAGGCAGAGAGACTGAGGCTGCAGCACAAGAAAGACTACCCAGACTACAAGTACCAGCCTCGGAGACGTAAGAGCTCCAAACCGGGACAGGGGGACTGTAGACCCAGACTGGTCCAGCAGCAGCATCAGCAGGGCTTGTACAAGACAGAACCAGGGGAAGGGCACCATCATCCAGACAGGACAGGTGAGAAGACTGATTCTTTACAGATCTTCAAATTTAATACACTTCAGAGCATGCATTGCAATGTACCTCTTTTACCTATTTTTGGTTCAACATGGAAATATTGATTGGTGTTTCCTTGGTTTTGGTTTCCAGGTCAGTCTCATGGACCTCCAACGCCTCCCACTACCCCTAAAACCGAACTTCACATGGGGAACAAACATGGGGGCCACCTCCCTGCAGACAGCAGCACCGGCTCTGCTCCTCCCGCCAGCCGCCAGAACATTGACTTCAGCAACGTGGACATCTCAGAGCTCAGCACTGATGTCATCAGCGCCATAGACGTATTTGATGTCCACGAGTTTGACCAGTACCTCCCTCCCAACAGCCACGGCTCCACTGTTCTGACCCCACCTGATACCAGCCACGGACATAATAACCCTTCTGGATCCTTCATCCTACCCAGCATCCATTCTCACTCCCACAGCATTTCCACTTGGACCCCCAAAAGTGGGACTTCCCCTGGAATGCCACCATCCTCTTCCAGTTGTGACAGGCATGGGCACCCCCAGGACCCCATCCAAAGACCTCAGATTAAAATTGAGCAGCTGAGTCCAGGTCACTACAGCAGCTCCTCCACTCCTGAACTACCACAACAACCTGAGCACACCTCCCTCGGTTCAGGAGTCTGCCCTTTATCCACTTCCTCCTCAACCTCCATCAACCAATCTGACTACACTGACCTTCAAAGCTCCAGTTTCTACAGCGCCTACTCTGGGTACCCTGCCGGTCTGTATCAGTACCCGTACTTTCACTCCTCTCGCAGACCTTATGCCACACCGCTTATCAACAGCTTGGCCTTGGCACCACCTCCGCACAGTCCTCCCTCTGGCTGGGAGCAGCCTATCTACACAACACTCACCAGGCCTTGAAGAGTCAAAAGTGTGACCCTAATGACTACTCACACTCAGACAGTGGCCTACTTCAGTGACTTATAAGACAATGTTTGGATATTTGATGACTTCAGAGTTAAGGTTTTGACCAGTATGGATTTCTGAAGGACACTGCTGATGTTGGCCAAAGCTTCAATGGCGTATGTTCTGCAGCAGTATATTACATTTGTTCATTTTCATGAAAAATAAAATCTTAAGATTTACAAATATTCAGTGTATGGCCTTTTTTTCTGAGTAAAAATGACCTGTATTGGATGCTAAAATGTTCCATTAAAACTCCACACTAATGAAATGATGGTATGTGAGAAGCACCTATTAAACATAACACAACATGTAAACATATACAAACAGGGAGTTTGAGATTTAATGGGCTGTTTTTCCACAATCTGGCTGATCAAAATGGTTTCTTTACCTTCACCTTCACCTGGATGGGGTGCAAAGTCGAGTCTGTTGCATTTTGATTAAAACTGAAGGTCTTTCTTTTATAGGGCAGAATTATGAGATGGTTCAGTATTATTCTTTAAGGATTTTTAGCCAGCATGAAATGGTGTGTTTTGAACCATAGCGACAGAGAGATTGTGTCTCTGTCTTCTCCTATGCAGGTTATCAGTAAAGACTCTGCATAACAAGCTCTAACAATGACATTATAAGACCTTCTAAACTTGAGGGGACAAAAATGTTACCCATCAGCCTGATAAAAAAGACAGTAGTTTGACATTTTGGGGAATTCATTCATTCGCTTTTTTGCCGAGGGTTAGACAGGAAACTTGATAGCTGCTAAATGCTGCACTTGCTAGTTGCTCACTGTGTCTGTCTGCTGTTTAGGTCAGGCAGGTCGTGTTGGTTTTTAGAGCTTTTTCACTGAAAACAGCTGCCTGCCCCGGCCGAGTCTTAACATAACCCCCTGTAAAACCAAAACTTGCTTTACATTATGTACGGATTAAACAAACTAGATATAATGTGTTCATCAGTTAGCTGTAGAGATGCTGTCAAGCAGGTTAATTTATCTTTGGACAAGCCAGATTAGCTGTTTCCCCTGTTTCCTGTCCTTATGCTAGCTAATGAAAAACATCTCCTGGCTGAAGCTTCATATTTAGATTTAAGAGTGGTGTCAATCTTCTTATCTGACTCTGGGCATGAATACAAATAAGTGTATTACCCAAAATGTTTAACTACTAATGAGATATTTACTAAATGTGAGTCCTCACAAAATGAAACTTTATCATCTTGCAAATATTATATGACTTAGTGTGACTTAGTGGAATATATTCTAGATCACAAACATTACAGGACGTTAAAACAAAGGTAAGGCACTTAGCTGACAAAATAGATTACAATCTGATATCACAGGGCTATTTTCTCCCTTGGATGGACCTCTTGTTCTTACTGCGGACCTGTTCCTCTCTGCTCCATTTCCAGTTTCTTTCTAGCCCAACAGCTGCTCCTGCTGGGTTTCCTGCGAGGAGATTAGATCATTTCACAGTCCCAGCTCTGGACGGAGTGTCGGCTGCAGGGCCGGATCGACAGGACAGCTGGATTAGGTTTTCTGGGCTTTGTAAATATCTACAAGACATGCTCCATTGACTTATGACACAGAAAATAAGGCTTTGACTTATTGACATGAATAGAGTTTGACTTTAATGTGTTTTTAAAATGATCTAAAGGTCCCACACTCAAAGCATGGTGTATTCTCATGTAATCCCAAGAATGAAATGTAAAAATAACCAAAAACTACTATGTGCTGAAGCAACAGCTTTGCCATTAATAAATGTTTGCTACACATTTCAGGACCTTACTGACCATATTATCTTCAGGACAAACACGGTGGCTGCTGAGCAGAGGTCCCACCCGCTTTTAAACACTTCCTGTGTGGGTACAACCTGCCCGCTGCAGCTCAGAGGCTCACTGTCTGAGCACTTCACCATGACAACCTAGTTGCCAACGACAACAAGACTGCCAGACAGAAGCAACATTGATTTACCCATAATTCCATAAGGCCCTGGAGCCAGCATTTGTAGGTGGAAGTTTGTGTAAGAGTGGCGAGATCATCAGGTGACATTTACACCAGCAGACCAGTTCACACTTTGTCCTGCTGTAAGTGTGCAACTCTACACATGGTGATTTTTACAGTAGACTGATGAGCGCCATCTACTGTATTATAAAATGAGTGAACAGTATAAGGCCTTTACGAATAGGAAAATACGGGTATGCTGCACCTTGTGCAATGACGTACTCCATACAGATCGGCGACAGATTAAAGGAAAAATCAACAGATCAGATCAAAAGTGTCTTTGTATGGTGTTGGGCCACCATGTGCCTGCAGAACAGCTTCGGTGTTTCTTGACATGGATTCATTAGGTCTCTGGAACACTTGACGGTGGATGAAAAACATTCCTCCAAAACATATTCCCTCATTCAGAGTTTTGATGATGGTGACGGAGAGCGCTGTCTTAACACATTACTCCAAAATCTCCGGTAGGTGTTCAATTTGGTTGAGATCTAGTGACTTTGAGGGTATATGATTACACCTACACAACACCCATGCTGACTGTGTCTCAATTCACTTTCTTTCATCTGTAAACAAACAGAAATGTAGAAATTATAGGTTGTGGTTTGAAGGAGTTACAAACCTTTGGAGAGAACAGGGTAACCTTTACCCCATGCTCGCAGTCTTTATGCAAAGCTAAGCTAATCAGGACATCCTTGTAAAAGGGATTAAAAATCTCAGTGGATTTCTTTCCTGGTAAAATAAAGGTAAAATAAAATAAAAAATAAGCTAATCACCTCCTGACACAAACTCTGCACTTACAAAATCTTACAAATCGTGGGGAGTACAACTGCAGAAGTGAAGTTGTATAAAGCCTTTGGTGGCACCAGAGGTAACTGCATGAAATCTGAGAAATGTCCCCAAGTGATGTCACTTGAGTCAGTGTAGGTTGAGGCTGAAGACTACAAGTTTGAAAATGAAAAACATCTGGTGATGAGAAGTTGGGAAGAATTTAGCTTACCAGACCTCTGTAGCCCGCTCCTCATCTGTGCTTGAGGCTTTAAGCTCGGGGGTAAAGTACAATAGCCATTAGTAGCATAACACACCCGGAACAACATATTGATGGTTGAGATGCATTGTGGGTAGTGTAAGCATTGTGGGTAGTGTAAGTGTTTTTTAAAGTGAAGTAGACTGTGGGGAATAAACGATATCTCTGGTTCTGCTGCAGAAATTATTATCACCTTTTTTAAATTGTTCATCGAGTGTCCAACAATGTTATAAGAGTGCGATGCAAAATCAGCAGATCACTCTGCAAAAAAGTGAGAGTGGTATCTACTTCTTGTATAACCTTTGGCAAAAAAGCCAAGTGTTTCCCAAAAATGCCAAACTATTCCTTTCATTTTTCACCTGTCTGCATTTACTACTGCCCAATGACAAAAATCTCAAAGGTGATTCTGGTGATTTTAATCTCTTCATCATGGTTCAAGGAGTTCATCTGGGATGACAAAATTTTACCTTCCTCTCATGAGCATTTCACCATATGAATATTCCACCTTACAGATCTCCTTTTTAATGTAACAGGAGAGCCCCATCTGCTGGATAAATGCACAGGACTGCACATTCATGATAGCACTGCTTTTAAAGTGCACATGCTCAAAAAGAGAAGAATGTACGCAGTTGCTTTGAAGGATAATTCTGGTCTATTTCAACTTGGGTATTTTCTAGTTCACCAAATGAATAGCTGGGATCTGGGTATGACATCACCAAAACAAAGTCTGCTGAGGCAAGAAACACAGTGCTAACCTGGGGGCTTTGGTTAAACGAACTTTGTGTTTTGTGAATTATTTGGTTTATTAAACGGCTATGTGACACTGGTCCACAATATATACTTTACAAACTTTAAAACATTATAAATAAAATAATAACATTATTCTTGCAAATAAGAAAGATGGGCAAAAGTATGAAAACAAGACCACAGTTGTAAACAGGAATAATCCTTTAATCAACCTACCTTGAGTTGAATAGTCTCATATTTGTACAGTATGTAGTCGAAAAAGACACATATATACCGTAATGTCTTAAACACCGTGGATAAATGAAACACTGCCACTTGATTTCAGGTTAATCTGTATTAATGTTAAGATTTTATTAATGAAACAAACTATCACTGTGATTTCGGGATCAACACAACAATCTGTCTTTAAATCAAGCTGCATAACGTAAATAAAACAGCTGTAGAAGTGTAAGTGTAAATTACAATCCTCTCACATTACAATCCTTTAAAGCAGCAATAACTGTCTACGATGGTTCAGTATGTTCAACAGTACAAATAAACAGGAGAACAGCTGTCAGTTTGAGGTTTTAAAGGAACCCTGTCTGGATGCAGATGAGACACCTCCAGCTACGTTAACAGCGACGGTGATCACTGAGAGTTTGTGTGTTTTTATGCATATTTGTTGTTAACAGCACTTTGTAGGTTCAGGTTTTACAGGGTTTCAGTGCCAGAGGTTTAACCTCACAGCGTCCTCAATGAAAACATCACAAATCCACACACACGGTAAGCCACTGTTGTCAAAACTGTACATTCAATAAATTAACAATGCATTGTCTTTGTTAAGCAACCAGTGAAATGACTCTAGATTACATAATTACATTAGATTACAGGTAGAATGAACCATTCACAAGACAAAATCTGAGAGAGGGGAGATTGTTGCAGGGAAAGGGTCCACATGGCTAAGGAAAGGAAGGATGATAATGTATAGCACAAAGTTGGTAGGCGCAATAGTGATGACATCATCTACCGTTTGGCCTCTGATTACCAAAATTTTGCCCATGATAGGCCTTTTGTCCCATTAGAGTTCACGTTTTCTACACAAATCCAGACTTGAGTCCCTTTGTCTCTTTCTCTTCTTCTCCTCTTCAGTATCTTTTGGGATTTCTGATCTGAATGAGACTGGACCGGTCCAACTGAGTTAAGGCTTCCTGCAGTCTTCAAGGCTTGTGTTTAAAATGGGCCTCCACTGCAAACACACAAAAAGGTTAAGTTATACAGAATAATAGACAAATAGACGGTAAAGTACGGTTTAAACTAATATGTGTTGTTTCAGCAGCAAAACTAATGCTTTGGTATTAAAGCTGCAGAGAACCAATATTCGGTCTTCTGCATTTCCCTGTCCCTTTCTGCCATCCTCTAGCTCTCCACCAGATGCCGCTGGACTTTCCCTCCTTTCCCTGTCACCTGACTGCCACACCCAACTGCACATTGTGGACAAGTTCAATCTCAAAATAACTGCTGTTAACGGAGGATGGTTTCAATCCAGCGACCTTTGGGTTATGGGCCCAGCATGCTTCCGCTGTGCCACTCTGATCTCACGTGCTCAGGCCCACAATCCCTGGCTTAGGAGGCCAGTGCCTGAATATCATAAACACTGAATAACATAACAGTGGCCCCTCATCCTACTTGAGCAGGAACAGAGAGAAAACATGCCCCGAAAATGCAGGAAATGTTTTTAGACAGCAGAGACTGCAGCTAAAAATCTGAAAAGTTATCATTTTGATTGCGCTGTTGACCCAGTCAAAGTGACGGAAGATGCGGCTTTACACATGTCACAGAAAGCAGTGGAAGAGACCAAAGAGCTGCGAGTAAAAGGTTATTAGCAGAGGATGGATTCGGTCCATCGACCTCTGGGTCATGGGCCCAGCATGCACCACTCTGCTCTCACACACCCCAGATGGGACTCGAACCCACAATCCCTGGCTTAGGAGGCCAGTGCCTTATCCATTAGGCCACTGGGGCTTCACATACTGTCAGGTCACCAGTTAGGTGGACATACAGCGAGTTCCACTTCAGAGTACGGAGAAACTACGGGAAGTACAATGTGTGCATTTGAATAACATAACAGTGGCCCCTCATCCTACTTGAACAGGAACAGAAAGAAAACATGCCTTGGACCTCCCCCTTCTTCCCTGTCACCTGATTGCCACACCCAACTGCACACCTGGGGTAAGTTCAATTTCAAAATGTTTTGCACTGGTTTGCTAAGGTTTTCAGGGTGTGGACAAGCAGATAAGGACAGTAGCTTTTTTAAACAATGATCTAATATCCTTGTTTATTGCACATTTATGTTCTTTGCGATCATTAGGCAGGAAGATGCACTTTACACATGTCACTGGGTCAGAAAGCAGTGGAAGAGACCAAAGAGCCAGTAAAAGGCTGTTAGCAGAGGATGGGCCCAGCACGCTTCCACTCTGCTCTCACACACCCCAGATGGGACTCGAACCCACAATCCCTGGCTTAGGAGGCCAGTGCCTTATCCATTGGGCCACTGGGGCTTCACATCCAGTCAGGTCACCAGTTAGGTGGACATACAGCGGGTTTCACTTCAAAGTAAGGAAAAACTACAGGAAGTACAATAACGTAACAGTGGCCCCTCATCCTACTTGAGCAGGAACAGAGAGAAAACATATATCGACGTATAACGTAATTTTTCACAATTTCCCTATTTTAACTACTATTACTGATAAAATGCTTTGGTAATAAACACAGAAACTACAATGTGCTCTTTTATTTTAGTTAAAAAGAAAAACAAGAAAAACAAAGAGTAGGGGAGACAGAATACAGAACTAGAAACAAAAAACTGTGACATAGTGCCAAAATGTGTCCATAAGAACAGGGTAAACTTCAACTATTAACTAACAAGAAGTCTTTAGCTCAAAGATGGTACTTGAATACATCCCTGAAGTAAACACACTAATAGTACTAGTACAAGTTGTTCAACATTGTGCAGAACCAATGCTTTGTTTCTTGATGCCTACGGAACTTGCCTTATATCCCAAATCCTTAGAAGTGGAGAGGGACTGTGTTCAAACATGATTAGTAAATTAGCCCGGCATCTTTAGTTTTTGACATTCATGCATAACTTGCGTGATGCACTTTTAGCACCCAAGTAGATAAGTACATTCTACCACCTCCATTGTGCTACTAGCAGTCAAAAACATAGAAACAGAAATTTTTCACACCTGCATATTCCTGTGGCCTCATTGGTCGATTAATAACCCTCTGGAAGGCAGCTATCCAATCCCGCTGCTCTGCCTCGGTCTCACAGGCAAACAGGAACTTCCTGTCTGGCGTGACAATGGTGATGCCATTGTTCCAGTGGTAGCCCTGTGTGGAGGGGGGCAAGCCGGCTAGGACAGTGTAGCTGTTCTCCTTACTGCCAATGAACACCTCACCACGGGCATAGGCATCCTAGGAGACAGAAAGAAGGCGTCCTGTAGACAAACTAAGCGATCTGTTAGAACGATAGGAATGGTTGTGAGTGCGTAGCTCTCTTCTTACCAGAGGGTCTTTAAAGTACATGAGTCTTCTGTCATCCATAGTAAACCACCTCTTCTTGAAGCCCTCTGTGTGCTGTAGGAAGAGAGACAATTCAATGTAAAGAGAGAAAACAAAAGCGAGTCAGCAGTGCACTGCAAACTCGTCATAATAGGGCTACAGGCTGTCTGCATGTGTCAACAAGCTGAACCCTTGGCTACTAAAATTGAGTTGGAAACCATTGTACTATACTTAACCCTCAGACATTGGAGTTGGGGAAATGTAACTGAAATTGAGGTGTTTAGAGGGGTAGTAGGATTCAGTAAGTATAACCACATCACAAACCTTTGGACCTGTTTTCTCCATAAAGCCTTCTTTCATGAAGTTTCGGGTTAGTTTGGGTACCAGCTGGAGAGAAGACAAGACAACAGAGAATCATATAAAAGCATGCATGTAATATTAAAAGTAATGCTTGTCACATACTGTACAACAAGATGAATTAGTCGAGGGGTTTTTCTTCAATTTTAAAGGGACAAAAACATTCAAAGGTCAACACCCCTGAAAGTCATCTGCCTTAGGCCAAATGAATAATTCCTCAAATCTGGTGATAATAACAGCACTACACACTGAAACACTGAAAATTGCATAATTCCTGATGTTCCACTTTTGGTTTGGGAAAGCATCGTGACACCTTTGACAAACCATTTCTCGACAACAAGCTCCATGTGTTGTGCGATTAAATCCTCACCTCTTCGTCACTTGCTCCAGGGAAGGCCACCTGTAGGTAGTGGAACCTGGCCGCTCTGATGGCATTGAACCAGTCAACCATCTCCTGTAAAAAAAAAAAACACCCTCAGCGACAACATATCCTGCTGGAATGCCAACAGTATCTATTCACAGTAAGTATCCAAGGTATTTTGGGTTCTGAGTGAATAATGTGGTGCTTCTTCTCTGATGCCGGTGAAGGTATCTTTTCGACACAGTAAGGTGCAGTCAAAGGCATCTGTGCTGTGTGAATGCTGCAGTGCTGTCAATAACTCCACCACAGAAAAAGAGTGACGGTGACACTGAGTGAACCCAATGAACTCTTTTTGTCACAGCCTTCAGTAACAGAACTCAGCCAGCAGAGGGAGCAGCGCTATTTCTGTATCAGGCCCCACTCACTCTCCTGAATGGGAATATAGTATCTGTATCTTTCTTCTCTCTAATTGTCTCATTTTGGATGGTCTCTCTCCCTCTCTCCCTATTTGGAGAGACAGAGGGCACGGCACACACACATACACACACACACACTGGATACTCAGTGTTTTGGCTCAATACTTAAAGCTTTTCATCTAGGAACCTCCATAGTAAATCATATGGAAATTATGGGACCTTGCAAACTAAACAACATAACAATACTATAACTGCTTTACTGCAGATACAATGAAAAAAATAAAAACTAAAATACATTAATCTGCATTTCAGTCAGTCAACTTATGTGGAATGGATTCATATGTGAATGTAGTATATACAGCGTTGACATTTGGTGTCTAGGCTCTGACCTCATCGTTCCCCACAAGGAGGCACCAAGCTCAGCACAGCAAGAGTAGGGAGTGACCATAATTACTTCCCCTACCCCTGGGGGTAGGTATACCCAGACCCTATAGGTGGATGCTGGAGCTTTCAAAATGCTTTACGAACAGCAGCAGCAGCTGCGGCAAGCGCAAGCAGCAAGTGACAGAAGTGAAAGACACTCAGTAACTAGCTTACAGGCTACGCATCATTAGAGTAGAAGGTCATTGTCACTCAGGCTTTCAGCAGTTCTTCTCTGTAATGCTGCCTGGATTCAATTCAAAGCCATTTAAGAAAACAGAGCTAAAATAATAAAACAAAACGTTCAAAAACAACTTACTTCACATTTGACATGCAGTGCAGTCTGCAAGCTGTAGGACAGCAACACATTCTCTAATGTGTTGGCTTTGATCTTTGGAATGAAACAATGCCTATGATGTGAAGTGCTTTCAGTTTTAAGGTTGTTTGAGGTTACTCACATCCAAACTGGTTGCACATTGAGCAAACACCTTTGAATTAAATCTAAAAGTCAGCACTTTACGCTCATAGTCATTATTTATGAGCCAAAACAATGAAAATCTGTCACTATCTAAATACTTTCTGACTGAATTGTAGCTACTGAAGCCACTGATGACACAAATGAGTACAGAAAACCCCCCAAAGAATAAATAAATTAAGGGAATCTTTTATGTACAAGTGTGGTTTAGTACAGCAGACAGCATGCATATTATACTAAATCCACATTAGTGCCATTTGCAGTAAAGGGAGGGAGCAGTCACCCCACCCAGCTTTGAACCAAGGTCAACAAGGTACTAGGGCTGGACGATATGGCCAAAAATGTTATCACGATAAAAAGTTTCATATCTTTCGATATCAGTAATTATCATGATAAGTATCAAATCTTTCTTTCTTTTGAGTTTAAACGCTGATTTTTGCTCCTGAGTAAAGTTGAAGAAACCTGATGGTTAATTGTGGTATAAACTTTTTTTATAGTTAACACTTGAGGCCAAACAGTGGATCACTTCACAAATCTGAGGTAGAACATTTAAAACAATTATGATAACATCTTTGTCAACAAATATGCATGAATAAAATATAGTAAAAGCTTTTTTCAGTCCTTTTTCCTCAACAAAATAAACATCTTAAAAAAAATTAAATCCTAATTCAAGTGATTCAAGTGAATAAAATCAAAAATATATTGAATATTTATTGACCATTTGTTATATTGTTATTGAAACAAATTATATTGTGATAATTATTGTTATTGTTTTATTATCCAGCCCTATAAGGTCATCATACTCTGTATTACTGCAATCTAAGACTTGACAGTGAGCATATAAAAAAGCCATATAAAAAAGCATGTCACTGCATTGTAGAAAACAGATTTTAGAATTCATGAATGTTTTTAAGTGCTTGACAGTGTACCTTAGCATCACTGTGGTAGACAAAGATGTTCCTTGTGCTGTTGTCTTTCAGGTAGGTGATCTGCAGACCACAGGGGTTGCCAATCTTGGCCGGTTGGAAGGTGGCATTGAGGGTCTCAATCTTCATCACTGCTTTGGGATCCCTGGCCTTTGTGGAGGAAGACATGAACAACAAATAGGACATGTCTCACATTCCTGAGTATTACTGGCTTTTACCAAAGAGAAATGTTGCTACTGTAAACACCCTTTAAAATCAACCGTATCATCTTACATCCTGCTTGTTGAAGTATTTCAGCGCTCCCTCCCTCTCCGACAGGATGAACTTTCGGCTGAGAAACTGACCGTTGTCTCTTCCTCGTTTCCATAGAAACCCCTCTCTGTACCCTGGGCAGAGAGAAGGGGGGGGGGGTTGATATCTAAAAGCCATCACAGCAGATGAGATGAGAGATTAAACGGAGGAGGCATTTATAACAGTAATGGTGCGATGTTGTAACTGGTTGGTGTAAAATGATACTTCAGTTAAGCAGAAATCAAAGATCATTTGAAATCTTATTTAGAAGAGGAGGGAGGAGAGAGAGAAAACACAACATCCAAGAAGCAAACAGACGAGAGGGAAGGATTTAGCAGGAAGAGACAGCACACAGAGAGATTTTGTTGTCTCTGTACCAAAGAACATCCTTTTCTATGTTAATGATCTGCTGTTCTATTTATAGCCTGTAATGTCTTCTTCTTCTTCAGTCTATTTTGGTAAAAGGCTCTGCCTACACTCTCTATGTTTCTCTTTTCTCCTCTATTTTGGTCATGCTGTGAAGTGTTTTCTGTTTTAATCCGGATCTATTTTTGTAGCTTAATGGGAAGAAGGTGCCTAAGCATAATCAAGTGGCACTCCAAAGAAGCGACACATTCTTGTTTTAGCAATTTTACTGATGTTATCCAGAGTGTATTATAATGAGTGCCGAATTGTAGAATAAACTTACACTGAAAATGACAAGTGAGGGTTGAAATAGGAGTTAATTTGCCCAGAATGATTATGTGAAAAAATAAAAATAAAAAATAAAATTAATTAATAACACGTTTAAAAAAGAGACTTCTCATGTGAATAAAAGAGGAAGAAATTCACGAGAGGGAAGATCAAATAAGTAACAGGATCTTAACAAGATACCTAAAGTGGTATCCAACCATGTAGATAGTTTTTGTTTCATTTTCTCAGGTTTATTAACAGACCTTGTACTGTTTTTTAGGTACTATTATTCAGTAGAAAGAAGCTCCACTGAAAACTGTTCAGGGTCAGGCTGATGATTATCCATCCAGTAATTAGGATACTGTCCCTGGAAGGATATTTTTTAACATACATTATTAATGGTGTGAATCCGACAAAAAAAACTTGTATTCAACTGCATTGTATTGTTGTGAAGGTAGATATCTCATAGACAGATATCTTAAAACCTGGACAAATAAAACTAAAACTACTGTACATGAAAGTATTTAAATTAATTAATTTGTGTGAACCAGCCTTTTAACTAGGACTTGAGAATTAAAAAACTTGGGGGTAGCAGAACAAGACATGTTTCAACCTTATAAAGTTAGCATGTTAGCAAACAGTTGCCTATTTACACATCTAGCAGACACGGAACAACATTTATTTGAATTTGTGTCTCTGGCCACTTGGTGAACGTGCCTCCTTTGTGGCTCCCTTTTGGTCTCCACAAACTCCTGAGGGAAATATCTGGCTCTTCAGCTGCTAAATGCTCCGCCAGCTAGTTGCTAACTTTGTCTGTGTGCTATGTGTTTGGTGCTGGGCAGGTAGTGTAATGTGGATATATAGGATTTTATTTTTTTTGCTTTGTAGGGTTAAGATTTACTGCAGAGAGTAGTGGTAATTCTCTGTGAGTTTGTCACTATGGACGACCCCTTTGACATGCAGTCATTTCAATCATAATTAATGTGAACATTTTTATGTTTAAGTGTAGCTTTAAAGTAAAATTATGTTTGCTCAATGCTTGTCGATGCAACATGAGTTTGTACTGATGGACCTCCTTAGCAGGCTTCATGGTTGATGTGGTTAAAGAACATCAAAAGCCAAAATCTCACAGTATGTACAGAATTTTCCATGTATGCTCATTTAATCCTTCATATGCCTAAATTTCATGTTCACACAATTTCTTTACTCTGCTGATCTATATTCTCCTTATTTAATGCCCACTTCCATTGTTTACCATTGTCTTCTTGTCCTCTGCACTCATTCCACTCCATCTTTGTGTGTGTGTTTCTTTGTGGCTGTGACTTTCTGACATGAAACATTCACCTACACTGGCATTACATCATCGATCAATAGCACTCCTTGTCCCCCACCCTCGTCCTCCTTCTCTGACACTCTTTTTTTCTTCCTCCTATCCTTTGCATACTGGATCAATATTAACATTGGCCGCAGTGGAGGCCAGGTTACTGCCAGTAGTCAGTCTCAGCTAACACACACATCATAGACTGTATGCACGCACACATACGCAGACGTCTAGCACCTCCCAATGAGTTATGAAGACAGCATGAATGCACAAATGGAGATGACAGAATGACTCATTTTATTACTCTCTATGTGCATGTGTGGTTGTGTACGCGTGAGTGCATGGTTCTACCCCGTAACAATAAATGGATGAGGTCACTGCGAGCCAATCACAAAGCTCCACCTTCAACAGGAAGTGAAATGTATACAAATAGACACACACACTCAAATATTGTACACACACGCAGTCAACCAAACACAGACACACGTTGTTTAATGGCTCTATTCTCAGGCAGGGACAATTACAGTGTCACTGTCTGAATATAACGATGGCACTTTAAACTGCAAACATATACGCAACCACTTAGGAGAAGGATGAAAATCCACTGGGAAGTGTTTGTCCAGTGAGTTTTCAAGGTTCTGTTAACTGAAGGGTAAACAACGCAAGACTGTCACAACAACAGAACAGCCATTTTTGCTTCTTTTTTTTGGGGGGGGGGGGGTGGAATCTGTAAATGAGTGTAATTGTGCATGAATGCGTGAATGTTGGTACAGAATTTTCTTTTTTCTCTAATTACCAGCTTGTGACATTAGAAGACACAGGCTATAATGAAATGTAGCAACATGGTAACACTATCTTTATTTGGTGTTATTTGTTGTCTGTATTTAGAAAATTATGATGAGTTTATTTACAGGCTAGTTATAGAAAATTGTTATATAAAAACACTGCTACCTTTTAGCAAAGTTATTAGCATAGAAACGGTGGTGGAAGTCGCCATTTTTTAGTAAAAACGCAAGTGGCAGAGATAAAGGGTTGAGTGAGGAGTGATTCACAATTACGGTAAGTTTAGACTTCAGTGTCACAGAGGTGTTTGTAAAGCTTTTTTCTGAATGCTAAGCATTAACATAACATAACATTTTAATTTCAAATGCATTTCACATTTTGGGAAATAACTTTATTGCCCAGAGTTAGATGAGAAGATTGACACCATTTCCATATCTGCCTAGTAAATACGAAGCTACATCCAGGAGATAGTTTGCTTACCTTAGCTAAGCATTAAGACTAAAAGCAGGGGGAAACAGCTAGCCTGGCTCTGGACTGGTTTGGGCCAAGGCAAACCAGCGGAGCCTCCAGGAAGTCACTGCGCTGCACAAAAAATTGTTCAACACATAGCCCCCCCTAAAACCAAAGCTGAGCCGTACAGAAAGGAGAGTTGAATCAATCTTCTTATCTAGCAATCGTCAAGAAAGCAAGTATGTCCATCCATCCATCATCAACCGCTTATCCTGAATACAGGGTTGCAGGGAAAGCAAATATGTGTATTTACATAAATGCCAAACTACAGTGTTCATAGCTGAGACCAAGTCCTTTCAATGTACATTTAATCATTAAATAAGTTGTGTGGCCATGCCTTATTTCAGTCAGAGAGGGGTACTAATCATTGAAATCAGCTTGTGCTTGAAAAACAATCAGCTTGGATGATGGTCTTCACAAGTACAACATGTCAGCATGCACATACCTGCAGAGTAAGGCTCCTGTTTTTCGATAAACTCAAACTCATTCCTCTCGTACTTCGCTCTGATCCACTGCTCTCTCAGCAGCCTGGAGACATGGAAAAAACACACACAGTTAGCTTTCACATCAAGTACATACTCACTGACTGACCTGCTCTACACACATCTAGTACGGAATTTTTTCTACACAGTATAGGAACAACAAAGCATCAATAAACATTTGTATTTTGGTATTTTTAACGAAACTAAGCATTTTCAAAAAACTTAACCAGCAAACCCACTTTTAAAAATAATTAAAACAAAATGTTAAAACGAAATAAAAATAAAAACTACTGAAAAATGCAAAACTATAACAACCTTGTCACTTCTGATGAGGACCATCAGCTTAGCATTTATTGATTGATTGATTCATTGGAATATTTATTTAAATAGTTATAATAGTTTGAGATTTTGTAAAATATGCGTTTTTTCCATTTAGATGAGAAGATCGATATCTCTCTCAAATACCAATCCAGTAAATATAATATAATGCTGCCAGCCAGGTAGCTTAATTTAGAATAAAGACTGGAACGGCTAGCTGTTTCCAACTGTTTCCAGTCTTTAGGTTAGGCTAAGTTACGTGGCTGCTGGCTGTTGCCTCATGTTTAACACACCCCCACCAGTGAGGTATCGATCTTCTCATCAAACTGTTAAACTATCACTACAGTGGCAGAGCATTAAACCTTTTTAACACTTCCACTTTGTTGATTTAAGTTTCTTACTTAATCCTGATTCGAAAATAATGAAATAGCCTGTGAGCTCATGTTCTACAACACACATATATCATCACAATGAAACATAATGCATTCAGTGTCTAACACGATCACTGCCTTTGTTTCCACATTTTCTACCAAATCTAATCAAATTTTAGACCAAGTTCAGTGTGATGAGATACAAATGGCAACAGTCAACACGTCACCATGCCAACAATCTCTCTCATCATGTTTCCTTCTTTACCTCAACCTTTCATTCTCTCCTTCACTAGACATTTATCTCTTCTTTTTTTCTTCTTCTTCTTCTTCTTCTTCTTCTTCAGTAATGAAACAGTCATTCTATTGGCATCAAGGGGTAAAATGTTGCACTCTTTTTCCTTCTACAGTGAGACTGGATCTTAAACACAAGGCCCTGTGGTTCTCAGGGGAGTGGAGCGAGTGAACACAGGCACCATGGCACAGACACTGAGAAAGTCACTGCTCTCTCTCATCTGAGCTTTCTCTCACTCTACCTTTCATAGTGTCTATTTTAATCAAATTCTGTCGGAGGGAGGCACAGAGAGAGAGATGGATGAGAAAGCCTGAAATGTCCAAGAAAAACTGATGTCACTACATCAGCTTATTAAACCAAATAATATGAGGTCGGAAAAGGTATTCTCAGCAGATTCTAAAATATATGATTGTTACATACATACAGACGGCCTCCAGATAAGATTTAATTTTACGCTTTCAGAACTTTAAGCTTATGCTTAATTTACCACTCACTGTGATTCACAGTTCTTAAACAACAGGAAATAGTTCAGTGTAAAAGCTTTTTAGGCCATTTACAGTATACACACAAAGAGGAAGAGGAAGTGATATACACAGTCAGAGGAGTGAAACAGTATACTATATTTTCATATACAGTAACAATGTCCCACTGCACTACATGGTGTTAGCATCACTTTCACAATTATCAGTATGCAGCATAACTGCCTCTGCATTCAGCATTTTCTTTTCGCATTCAGTTGCAGGCGGTATGGCCGTAGGACTGTGAGCTCAACAAGAGCCAGGAACCAAACCTCCAAATGAATGATGATAACTTGGCTCTGTGCCTGCCAGATGTGTAATCAGGCAACTATTTGAGAAAATGTTCGCCATATCAGTTTTATGTTGTTGTGCATCAGATTAACACAGGTTTACAAAATAAATAATCATATAAATAAATGAAGTCAGACAAATCAGCCATTTGTGAAATAGTTCAGTAAATTATTATTATTATTAAAAATTAAGTCAACTCACTATTAGGAAATATGTATATTTTCACAGTTTTAGCACCCAAAAAAGACACACCTTTTCTATCTTTTTACGATATATGAAAGAGAAAACATATAAGAAACAACAAATACAGTTCTAGCTAAACACCAGAAACTGACTGTTACCATATTGAATAACCAGGCATAAAAGGTATTGTAAAATTGACTGTAAAATAAGTTACTGTCTCTAGTACCAGTCTGTGCTTCAAAATTGCTACTGCTAGTGGTAGCCTACTGGGAGTCAGCTCAGTTAGCAAAGTGTTGTCTGTTAGCTTACTACTGAAACAACAATTACTTACTTGCAGTCAGTGTGTGTTGGTCTGTAGTAGAAAGCCGGAACCTTCTGCTCATATTTGGCCTTGGCTGCATTGTTTCCCGTAGCAGCCATCAACTGTGAGGGAGACAGGACAACACAGCCTGGTCATCCAAATACTGTTCCCAGTCAAGCATTCACTTCAATAGAATAGACAGTCGTTTCCTTATTTCAGATGTCCAGATAAATGTTATCTAACAACATATTTAGCCAGCTGTTAACCAGCCACAGTTATTTTATTCTGGATGTTTTACATCTGAATTTCAAGATTTGGGAACATACTTGCCATAAACATTTTGAGTAGATCTACACTGTGCAGTTATACAATAATGGCCTATATTTTTACAATCTTATAGAAAGGGTGGAATTTTTAATAAAATTTCTCCTTCAATTGTTACTTTTTTTCAAAATAATAATTTCAAAATAACAAATACCTATATTCATTCCTATGCTACAAAGAAGAAATTCTGAAATAAGATGCTAATAGGAAACACTTTTTAAGCACATTCACATAATAAAAGCCAAGGATGTAAGACCTAGAGAATGGTGACAACAAAACCACAATAGGAAAAAGAAAATAATAACAAAATGAGACAACAGCAAATGCTCTAAAGTATAGAAAATCTTATGTATTATGGAATTTCGTCAGTTGACAATGAGGCCCCCGCATTGCTATGGGATTAATTGTAGAAATGGCTACACCGCCTTGAGACGTGTTCGCCTTCTGCCCTCGTTCCCTCCATTGTGCGTTTCATCCAAGGATAATCCCTGAATCCAATCCAGCTGGCTGAATCCCTCAACATGCCTCTCTTATCCTCTGAGGGGCTCTGGAAGGGATGCAGCACTGTGGCGTTTTATTGTGAAGGTCAAATAGCGGCAGAAAATTCAACCGAAAGAAGGAAAGTCACGGAAAGTGACATGTGACACATCTGCTGCCAAAACCGTGATGCATTTGACGCCTCAGATATGACATTTTGAACATGATATCAGTATCATCAAAGCACAAGATCAGGGACATTTTGCATAAGCCCTTCAGCTCAGCATCTACTTGACAGTAGGGTAGAGTGGGGTAACACGCACCCCCTAAGCTCAATGTCTATTTGCTGACACATAAAATAATATTTCATAGGGTTTTTTTGTATCTTGGAAATGGTCATGCTTAGGGTAACATAATATAAAGTAAAATAAATAACTTGCTCTCCCTGCCTTATGTCCGTCCACGTACGCATGTGGAGAGGCAGGGGGTCCCAGAACAGAGCCACACAGCCAAAAATAACTACTGCAAACAATAAAGTATTACTTGACAAAGTTGTCCTGACTGAATTTAGGTATTCGTTTCACTGCGATTACACCTGTGACCCACTGGGGTAGGTGTGGTACATAGATTCTTAGGCACAACAAAAAATGGATAAATCAGATTCTGTGCGTAGAAATGAGTGTGTGCATGGTTTAAGCACAAAAAGGTTGATAAGCGACGTCTCTGATTTTAAAGTTTTATTGTGTTTTAAGAATTTACCATCTTTTCAGAAATGTACTCTTTTCTTTTCAAGACTTTTTGTAAGTCATTAGGGATCCAAGCAGCAAAGCTGGTTTTGTTATGATTCTTCTTCTTTCTTTTTTCTTTTTCTCCGCTTGTAATGACTCTAAGCAAAGAACTGTCCGTGTTTAGACACACCACCACGTTAGTGCATGTCCTCTCTTATTTCATATAAAAATGATTTATAAATATTTTTATCGAAATGCCCATTTACCTGACTATCAATGAGCAATGGAAAAGCTGTTGCTGTAGGGGGTATAGCTCAGTGGTAGAGCATTTGACTGCAGATCAAGAGGTCCCCAGTTCAAATCTGGGTGCCCCCTACCTTTGGCAACAAACAGCATGACTTCCAGTCTCTCATGATTTCAACTTCTTTAAGCGCTCTATCATTGTATAAAACGGTCATATGTACTTTCTGAAGTAATCCACTGAATATGCAGAAAACTCGCCGAAATTGGCATGTAGGTTTCAAATTCCACCCACTACTCGTGGCGCTATACCTTGCGTTTTTGCAATTATCTCGAAAACGGCTTTGTTTGGAGAGGAACTTCTTTCAATATTTTACTCTCTGGATTCATCTGCATCTTTTCTCCAATGGTCTTCTGCTCTTAAAATGTCAAATTATACAACTTTTTATCACTTTTCTAAAACCTAAAACTTATTTTTGCAAACTCGTCCCAGACGGTTTCACCAATTGACCTGAAACTTTGGCAGGATCATCTACGGACGTTGCTGATCAAAAGTTATCAAGAGAATTTTGATACATTTTGATTACGTTTTTCATAAATTTTTACTTTTGTGTATTTACGCACAATTTTACATAAATGCCCGGAAATCAAAATTGCCTTAAGCTATTGTAACCAAACTTGACGCGTCTGTTCAGATGCTCGGCCCAAACTTCGCTGAGCAGTCCTGGGATATTCTTCCACTAGGGGGCGCTACACTTGCAAAAGGTTTATACCTTGCTTGTAATGACTCTAAGCAAAGAACTGTCCGTGTTTAGACACACCACCACGTTAGTGCATGTCCTCTCTTATTTCATATAAAAATGATTTATAAATATTTTTATCGAAATGCCCATTTACCTGACTATCAATGAGCAATGGAAAAGCTGTTGCTGTAGGGGGTATAGCTCAGTGGTAGAGCATTTGACTGCAGATCAAGAGGTCCCCAGTTCAAATCTGGGTGCCCCCTACCTTTGGCAACAAACAGCATGACTTCCAGTCTCTCATGATTTCAAATTCCTTTTCTTCTATCATTGTATAAAACGGTCATACGTACTTTCTGAAGTAATCCACTGAATATGCAGAAAACTCACCGAAATTGGCATGTAGGTTACAAACCACAAAAATAATTAACAACACACCTAAAAACCGGCAAAATGATCAATGATTATATTCAGAATTTTCTCACCAACATCTTGACGGTTCAAATCCCCCGGTGAGCCAGTCAGATGTGCGGACAATGGAGGGTGTTCAGATCATAGTGAGTCTAAGGTGACCATCTTATTTGGATCCCGTGACACTTTCTTCTCATTTTTCTCTGCTAAAAAGACTCTGTGCAGCTTAAACTTTAAATCTAGTAAACAAAAAATGTTGCAGGTGGGTTGAACATTTCACCCTGTAGTAAGGTACATATAATGACACTCTCTGATCTCAAAGTGATGCTGTAAAAATCACGTTTGCGTTTCCGCAATTATCTCAAAGTCCAAATTCTTTCATCACTTTAATCCCTTAAGTCTTCTGCATCTGTTCTTCTCCTCTGAAAATGTCAAATGTTGCGTTTATCGTGACTCGCTTAGATACCGATCATTGCTCGCAGCTGTACCTTAAGTAGTTTTTACTTACCAAACTGCTATTTTCCAATGCTGTCCTTCACCCCCTAATAAGGCTATCCTGTTTGGCCGTAAAATGCTTTCACAAGTCATAAAGCCATTCTTCAGAATAAAATGCCTAATTATTTTAGGAAAATTCATCTCAAGACAGTTCCAAGGACTTGACAATCACCTTCCTTCAGTCATCACATCCTCCCTTTGGGACAGGAGGCAAATATCAGAAACACCAGCTGAAGTTTAGTGGCGTCATCACTCTAAGTCATCGTGAAGAAAGACCCCTGTGTGACATTTGGGGCACCTTGTTAAACTCAAGACTATCCAGTATTAGGTAGGTGCGGCTACTTAAGTGGCTGGTAGACAAAAGTGGCTCCTCTGATTGTGGATGTTTTATTGAAGTGGGACCACAATGGCTCCTAAAGTCTCAACAATAAACCCTGCATCTCAAAATAACCCCTTAACTCTTCCAATACAGCAATTACAGTAGGGGGATTTAACAAAGACGACATAAAGCCCTCACTGCCCTTTTTCCTACATTGCAATCAAATCCAGTCATTCAATCACCTAATACTCTTGCTTACATTTTTCCCCATTACATCTTCCCACTCTCCTCTTAAGTCAAATACCCATTACATCCCAATTATTGTCCTCCAACTTCCCTCTATCCTCATGACTAATATCAGCATCACCTCCCCGAAAGTCCTTTTGTCACCCAGTGGTGGCGTTAAAGCACTGACATGGACCATTGTTTAGGGGCAACTACACCCTTTGCTCAGCAGTGCAAAAGCACATTCCTGACTATTTCTTACAAATGACAACCTCAAAATGTGCATTTCTGCTTTTAAACTTTAGCACAGAACTCCTATTATTTCTCGCTGACATATTTCTGAAGAGGGCATTTTTGCAAGGCACACACCAGCTCAGCTTCTTTTTACTCACAGGAGAAAAGTGTAAATCTCACTAATGGAATAATACTTCATTGATTGCTGTGAGGAAATTCTCTCCTCCCAAAGGGAGGTCAGAGGTCAGCTGAAGATGTCTTGCACAAGGACTAAAGACATTTTGATGCGCTGGTATCACAGCCAATCAAAGCATTTTTAACTGACTGATATTGGCTACATTAAGCCAGATAAAACTCTGATGATTTGTGCCTGTTGTAACCTACTGTTCTCTCCCATCACTGACCTGCAAGTGCCGAGCAAAAAAATAAACAGCAGCCAGCGGATTGAGTTAATGAGATCTGCACCTACGGAATGTGTCAGCAAGCAGAGCAGCTTCGGGTTTCAAAAATCCATCACGTTGCCTTTATTTCAGTGACATGTTTCCGCGTCCTGCTTGGGTCGTCTCCATAGCAACAAAGAAATAATGGCACGGTTTTAGAGATCCCACGGGCTCCATGTTAATATTGCTTGTCTGTATTGTATGCACATTTATACCATTCACATGCTAAATATGCATACTTATATTGCACATACTGGGATGTGCACACAATTAATATGCAGAGTTAAGAATTGTTGGCCTCATGCAAGAACCACTTGTGCAAATGTGTCGATCTTAAAGGCATAGTTTGGGGAAATCCGAGTATTCGCTTTATTGCCGAGAGTTAAATGAGAAGATAAATAACAGTAGCACAGTAAAACGCCTGACAGCTGGTCACACCCAAGAAATGATTACACACTTTTCTTTGTGTTAGTTAGTGAGCTTTAGAGGTGCTGGTAGACAGTTTTTTTTACATGTGCACAGAGCTAGGCCAGATGTTTCTAATATTTATGCTAAGCTAGGCTAAATACAGATATCAGTTTCAGAACAGAATCAGAAATATTATTGATCCTGGGGAGAAATTGAGGAATAAGAGAGTGGTTGATTTTCAGCATGAAAGCGAGATAAGCATACTTCCCACTCATACGTTCTTCAAGAGGAACATATGAGTGAATTTTTGAGTTTAAATATGTTACTAAAACCACTGAAATTGAAATAAATAAATATAATAATCGTAATGCAAAGTTAATACTTGTTTGCCATAGTCTACTGTCTGAATCTGATTCTACTGACAAATTTCAGTAGAATGTTCTCACTCTGTCAGACACTTCAGTGTCTCTCTGCATGTCACTGCCCAGGTGATCCTCTGTTGCACCTATTTTATTAGATTCTCTACTCCATCTCCTGCCTCTCCATTATTTTTTTTGCATCTAAGATGGGTAAAGTGATACCAGTCAAATATCAAATGTCAGCAGTCCACTGAGCAAAGCGGGAAGTGCTGTTTTGTTTAGGATGTGCACATGTTATTGATATATTTTATTGGGGATTTTGCAATGCGAGTACAATGTATGATTTGCTGTTACTGCTCTACCTCCACCTCGCTGGCATCCCACGTGTCCTGGACAGACTTGACCCGGCTGATGTGGGGAATGCTCCGGTGAAGGAGCGAACAGGCCTGGCAAACAAACACACCCAAAGTCAGCGACGCCCAGTCCGGCTCTGCAGGAGGGGAGAGAGAGAACGGGGGAAGAAAGAGAGGGAGAGTCGGGAGAGAGATGACGTAGGGAGAACAAGACACACAGAGGTGAAAGGAGGGGAAGTGAGTTCGGGGAGAAAGAGAGAAGGGAGGAAATGAAATCGGGCAAAGCAGTGCAGGAGAGCGACAGAGAGAGTAGTGGTAGAGATAAAGAGAGATAAAAAAGGACGGGTGAGAAAATCGTGTCATAAAAGCGCTGCAACAAAGAGAACACCAGCTCATGGTTCAGGCTATAAATACCGAAAGTGCTGATGCTGGCGCTGTTAAGGAGTAATAAGAGCAAAGTAAATGAAGCAAATATTACAAGGGACTCTGGTTTAGTGTGTCCCCGCTCATAAAGTAGACCAGGGCAGCAAAATATGATTTTGGGGAAATCCTATTTAGCTTACTGACAGGAAACAGTCCGTCTGAGATCTGATTAGAACTCAGCCGAGGTAGTTATCAGGTTAGTTACATCACCGGACTCCAAAATACACACACACATGCACACACATGCATGCATGCACACAAAAAGACACACACACACACACACACACACACACACGTGTATGCCCATGCAATATTTGATATTTTAAAAGGAGACAACAGAAAAGAACAAAACACACATCCTGACATGCACGCGCACACATACACACACAGAGCCTGCATAATGCATAACCCAGCCCCTTACCCTAACTTCAACTTAATTCTAACCTGAACCCTGAAACCAAGTCTTGACCCTCAAAAAGCCCTTTAAACATGTGGGGTCCAGCATCTTGGTGACAAGTAAAGTGGAATCTTGGTTTTTGGACCCCACAAATGTAGTAACTGCCTCCCCCCCGGCCACACGCACACACACACATAAACATCTGTGCACCATATCCCGCTTATTGCCAATATGAGCATGTGAATAAAGGCATTCTTTTCGACTACAGCGTTTGAAAAACCAACAGCCTCATCAGCAGTCAGACAGAATGTGCAAGAAAGGGGGATAAAAGAAGAGCTTTTTTTTCTCTCTCTGCATCGTGATTCAGCAGCAGCAGCAGCAGCAGCATCCGTGGGTGTTCGGCAAAGGTACATTTGAGTCAGTGTATCACACATTGTAGACTTTGATTCTGTCCATGCAAATGAAGTTGTCAAAGTCGGAAGCGCAGAGTGTCGGGGACAGTGACAGAGTGTAGTGTCCGAAAATGACGGAGAGATGAACGTGCAGATAGGAGTTTTGCACTGAAGGCAGAAATAATCTGATTGGTGGGAATTAAAGCTCAGTGGGTATATGAAAAGTGAGTCAAGTTTCCAGAGTATGTGTTCACATTTGTCTGTGATGTCTATAACTGGAACTGAAATAAAAATGGAATATCAATGGCTTTTGGACATGGTGATGAAAAGTATAGGGCTGCAACTAATGATTACTTCCACCATCAATTTATCTGAACTTAATGTAAATATTTCCTAAACAAAAACACACCCCACTCAATCCCCATAGACGGAAGGGGGGTGCAGCTTTGTTTGTGGGCCCTCTTCCAGTCACTGAATAATATAGTCAGTAATATTGGTAAAGAAATTAAGTAAAACATCAGAACACTAGTTCACAGTTTATCATTTTAAGCCCTGTATAATATTACTATGAAATAGATTTAGAATACATGTGGTACAGTTTAATACTACTACTCTACAATATTCATTTAGTAACTTATTTTAATTTACATTATCTTAGTATTGATTTATCACATCATATTACAACATACATTCTTTTGCAGTTTCTCCACAGCGAGTTTATGATATTTTCCTCTAGGGAAGGGAATTTCATATGATTCCATATCAATAATTATCGTAATAAATATCAAATCATTAAACCTTTAAGTTTAAAGGCTGATTCTGGCTCCTGAGTGAAAGGCTGATTCTGGCTCCTGAGTGAAAGTTGTGGTTTTAAACTAGTCTTTATGGTCAGAACAAACACTTGCCAAACATTGGATCACTTAACAAATCAAAAGAGGTAGAACATTCAAAACAATTATGATTATTTAACAATTATTCAGCACATATGCAAGAGTAAAATTAAGTAAAATCTTTCTTCAGTCCCTGTTGATCAACAAAATAAATATCTTAATAGAAAAATTAAGTGCTAATTAGTTCTTGATTCAAATGAATTAAATCAGACATTTATTGAACATTTGTTATATTGTTATCAAGATAATTATCATTATTGTTTGATTGCCCAGCCCTATTTTCCTCATATGACTGCTCATATAATAACTGTCAGTCTGTGCATCCCGTCCACAGTCTCTTCACATAACAGGGAAGAGATTTGTCTGCAGTCTGCAGCAGCCAAAGCTAAACAGAGTAGGCAGAAAATTCATGAAACAGCCACATCAGTATCACCACACCCAGCTACTAGTTTACCACCAAGAAACAAAAGGCCATGCAAGGCAGTCATCCACACAGTAATCTGCCAAGCAACAACGATTTTACTCGTGGGCCGGCTGCCCTCCATGCCCCCCCACCCCCCATAAATGTCTTGTTTGTCCAACCAGCAGTCAAAACCTAAAGATATTGTATTTACTATGATATACAACAGAGAAAAACAACAAATCCTCACATTTGAGAGGCTGGAACCTAGATGTTTGGCATTTTTTAGCCACACTAGCACTGTGGCTCTAGGGATGGCAATCCATTAGTCAGTCCACCACTTTGGTCCAGAATGAAATATCTCATACACATTTGGAAGGGCTGCCATGAAATTTGAAAGAAGCCTACTGACTTTTCCTCTAGTGCCACCAGCAGGTCAAATTTTTCAATTAAACTTGCTAAACTAAGTTCATTATCAATACTGTAGTTTTGTAGTCAATGATGATATTAACATTTGATTGATGATACTTTATCAGCCAGCTATCAACAACAAATCTTTGCCAACACAGTACTATATAAGCTAACTTAAACATATAACATCGGTCATGCCAATGCATCAGTCAGGCTCTGTTCAAGATGGTGGAATATTTGTGTGTGTATGTGTGTACGATGTATTTGCACACTTGTTTACATGAATAGCGTATGTGTGGCCACGAGCGACTGGGAGTACCATGTCCTCAATGGGCAACACTCCAAAAGTAACCACATTCTCTCTCCATCTCACTCTTTGTGCTGCTGCCATTTCTCACACAAGGAGAGCCTCAGCGCGGTGCACCACAGCCATGTGAACACAAATACACACACACACATGCACGGACAGTGAGAGCATGTAGCACTCAAGGGAGTCAGATGGGAGCCGACAGAGAGAGAGAGAAGGGGGGAAGACAGCAGGAAAAACCTCCAGCATTCTTGTTTTTCTCTGTCCTCTTGAGGCCGGAGAAAGCATAGATGGAGATGCCACAGAGCCTGAGAAGCAGAGGAGAGGTGAGGGGATGGAGGAGGAGAGGAGGGACAGGGTAGGAAGGGAAGGAAGGAAGAGTGTGGGTTCTTCATCATGCAGAGCGATGATGTGAACTCCCTGGTGATGTTGCACAAAGCACTAGAAATGGCACTTTGATGTGAAGAAATCAGACCTACTGTCCTCTTTGGACAGCAACACCCACACAAATACACACCTCCACAGCCCTGCTGACACGAAAACACACAACCAGCCACTCGGAGGTGAGGTCATCGCTGAGTCAGGCCTTACAGGGAAGCAGACAGCACTCACGGAGATTACTGTGGCCGCATGACTAACTAACCACACACACACATAGACACGCACAGGGCTTCTTCTTCTACATGTACGTGGAGGATGTTTCTCAACAGGATTACTGTGAACAACAGATGCACAGTTACAGTGAACAAGAGGTGGAAAACTCTGGTTTTGGTTTGTCTTTAACAGTGCATATGCTGTTTGAGGCGTGTTTGTTAAAGAGGCCAAGGAACTGTTGAGAGAAAAGACAACTTTTGCAGGAGTTATGAGACCCGTCAGGTGGAGAGACAACAGAGCCTTTGATTCGACCGCACACGGTTGAAAAAAGAAGTGCCTGTGGCGCTACTGCAGGGAAGATGCGGGAGAAACATATGAGGGGGCATTTAAGCAACGGCAGCCCGTGTGACCGAGAGCATCTGCAGGCAGTTCATTTGTGTGTCTGGAAGTATACACATCAGTCTGTCAGTCATGCTGGGGGTTAATCACTACACAGTGGGGTCAGCTGAGGTTGTGACCCTCTCATGTCTTGGCTAAACCCCTCAGGCACTAGCACAGGCTTTTACTTTTACGGGACTAGTTCCAGTCCTAACTTCTCAACTTAACCTCTGTTTACCTTCAGCTTTTGAAAAATGTCTTTTATAAGAAAATCATCAAGGCTTTCTTCATTTCTTAAGGCTGACTTTACAGATGGAATGCATTTGCAAGAGTGAACATTAAATGTGGTATGCGCATTATATTATATTACATATTACTTGCTACCATGCAGAGACATAGGTAAGCATTATTAGGTAGTTTCCAAGTGTTTCCTAATTGATTGCCTGTGTGCTAATGACGTGTGTCCATGTTTTTAATCCTGATTCCCATCCACACGCCTGAAATGTGTCTCTTTAAGTGTCTTGAAAATGTGTCCCTTTCTGCTACATAATCAGAACTGCTTTGGATTATGCCTGTAACCAAACAGCACGTTCTCTTTGAGGTAATAAAATCTATCCTTTTTTTTTACCCACAGGGTTTCTAAGGCAAAGCACCTTTTTTGTGGTATGCTTAAATGAATCATTGCATAAGTTTATGCAGAGCACTGAAGTTGTGCTTGCTTTAGCTGACTGGCATCAGCTGATTCATTGATGCTTTACCTTTAGTGGTTCAGTCATCAGCTGCTTGGCCACCAGCTGACTAAAAACATTCAATCATATTCATAGAGGTGTACAGTATCTTACAACCTACTACTCTCATTCTCCTATCCATTGGGCAGAGGTATGATCACAGTATCACATTTATGTAGTTTTTTTAAATGAAATTTAACAGTTTTTATTGCCTATT